AAGGCACGCTGACAGATGGGAGCAAGTTTGACTCATCCAGGGACCGAGGAAAGCCCTTCCAGTTCAACATTGGAAAGGGTGAAGTCATCCGTGCTTGGGATGAAGGTGTAGCTAAGGTACAGTAAGGAGAGGAGCTTTAAAGGGGCAGTCCACCGACTTTACATGTCAAGATGAGCTTTCTCTTCTTGGGGATCCCTGCTCGATTTGTGAAACAGAGCTGGGCAATATGACCAAAAATCTGTGTTTCCTCCAAGCTGGGACAATTTAGTTCATACAACATTACTGAAGCGTCATATTTTGTGGGTCTGCATTTGCAACTTAGAGCCATAAAATACTAATTTGCCCTGCATGGAGACGAGACAGTCCTGGAAGCTGCAGCAGGTGCACATATAGGGTTACAGTCTGTGTATCACTGTTTAGGATAGATACGCCTCGCAACAGCTGATATAGCTACACATTATATCCTTTTCACTGATGGTAACCCTTCTGTGCATCCTGCAATAACGGGTTTCTCACAGTGTAGACATTTTACGCAACATGCACAAACACGAATTTGAACTATTTTTGATACATGGCCCAGTCCTACTGAGAGCACTGTTGCATAATGTCTGTGGGAGTTTTCCAGAGTCTGAAAAAAGTATCCCCAGATGTCACAGGGTTATCTCAGCTTTACAGATAGCACAATTTTTAAAAAAAAATGGGGGTGTGAGTTTAACAGATGTAATCATCAACCAGCCAAGTGGGGGGGCCAACAAATTATACTATTCATTTGCATTGTGGATAATGCAGGAGCCAGTGCTTTTTTTTTTTTTTTTTTTTTTTAACTTGACCCATACTGGAAACAAAAAGCTGGGAAAATATCTTGACTTCTGTTGTATTGATATTGGCTTTATTTATTCATTTTTGACTCCTGTTAGTCCCCCAACTTCATGGAAGTGCATTACAGAATCTCTGGAGCACCTCTTCAATGGAAATGTCAAAAAACAAATCAGTCATAAGTATAAAACCACATTATTACCTTTTATGTAACTTGCTCTTCACCTCCTCCCCAGATGAGCGTTGGACAGAGGGCCAGGTTGACCTGCACGCCTGACTTTGCGTATGGCGCCCGTGGATACCCACCTGTCATCCCACCAAATGCCACCCTCATTTTTGATGTGGAGCTGCTGAGTTGTTGAGGTTAAAGGTCGCTCATCAGAGTTTCTCATTCCACCAACATCTCTGACACAAATAACTTGAGTTAAAGGTGCTGTCAGTGGCATTTCTAAACATGAATAAGTCATTTTTGAAAGAATTCTGATATCTTGGTATGACTGAGACAAATTAGACTGATGCTGGTGTTGTCGGTGCAAAATTACACCTGGAACCAAAAACGACATTTTGGGGAATATTCTGATTTCTTCCTGGATTTATGTGGCCTCAGTTATTACTTTTGTCTGATACATTTTTGCAGTTTCCTCTTTTTTTGTGTGTGTGCCATAAAACAATCGGACAGAATCAGTGGCACTAAATCTGAACAAAAAAAATCATGTTACTTTATACATGGTTATTCCAGCGTCTCAAACATAGTATGGAAATGATTATTGATGTTACAATTGCTCATGAAACAGCCTTTAATGAATAGCTTATTTGTTTTTTATTCTTGCATAACTGTATCTCTCAAACACTTGCATTGAGTTTCCAGCTTGAAACTTTGACACAATTTTAAAAAAGAAGAAAGAAAAAAAAAACCACCCAGAAACAATAACGGCTTACGATTTCACTTTTCATCCCTACTTGTGTTGCCTTTCATCATATTAGATTTTGAATCCCGACCCTTTTACCATACTCTTGGGTTAAAGGCTTCAAGTGTCATTGTGTTATGTCATCACGCTTAACATAATTTTTGGTAATGTTGTAATTCTTTATTGTGTCGTCCATTAGAAATGGTCTTTTCCGTAGGCAATGCATTCTTTCATTAAAAACAAAGTCTACAATATTAACGTGTCACTCATTGTTATTGACGTGATTGTGACTCATTTACTTTTACCCTGTGAACAAATCTCTAGACGGGAATCATGCTCGGGAAATTTAACATAACTATTTTGTTTCCAGTCAGTGCTACAGATTTATCAGTGCTCACAGTGGTGGAAGAAGTACTCAGACCCTTCACAAAGTATCAGAATGTAAAAATACATCATGACAAGCAAACGCCTGTATCCAAAACTAAAAGCATATATCAGGAAAATGCACCTAAAATATTAAGCAAAAGCACTTAGTGTAGTAGAATGTCAAACACTGATAAGAAAAAAATTTGAAATAGAATTCCTGTAAATAAAAGCAGATACCTGAATGTTAGAGTTAAGAGTTACTCATGAAAGTGGAGAATTAATAGATCTAAATATTAACTTTGAGGAGAGCTGCATTTACATGTATTGTTGTTTCTGTACTGACACCACTCGTATTGCCCACGGTGTATTAAAATACAAATACCCTGTTGTCAAACCATAATTACTTTATTAAGGACACAGAGAAAGGTCCATAGAGTACCACATAAAAGCAGACAATCTGTGTACAGAAATATAATGTAATAAACACTATATATATGAAGACAAGATGAAGTAGTTCATTTAAAACACTTAATTCAGTGTATTACCTCGTGTATAAAGATTGAGCTGAACTGGCCCACTAAGATCACATCTCACCATCATCAACTTTATGTTCAAATAAAAGTCAGGCCTATGTAGAGGCCTACATGTGCCTGGTTTTACATGTTTGTTGTGATGGTGGCCATCTAGTGAGGAAAAGTTGGAATTACATTAGGGACACAACCTCTGCTGCCTTCACTTGCTCCTAGCAATCTTTTTTTCTCACATTCAGGTGTAGAAATATGTGACAAGAAAATGACTGCACACAAACACACGCATTAATCAGTGATGGAGGAAACACCTGGAACTTTAAATTATACAAGAGTAGCAATACTGTAGTGTAACGCAAAACAACATAGAGGTTAATCCACAATGAAAATTCTAATGAGCTGCATTCATTCCTTTATTTTCCGTAACCGCTTATCCTGTTTGGAGGTCACAGGGGGATGGAACCTATCCCAGCTGACACTGGGCGAGAGGCAGGGTACACCCTGTACAGGTCGGGGCTGACACATAGAGACAGACAACCGTTCACGCACACATTCACTCTTATGGCCAATTTAGAGTCACCAATTAACCTGTATGTCTTTGGTCTGTGGGAGGAAGCTGGAGTAGCTGGAGAAAAAAAAAAAGGTCTAAAAAAACAAAATGTGAACAACCCATACAGAAACACGTGGTTGCCCAAACAATCACTAAAAAGACAATTTTACTTAACTGGAAAGACAGAAACAACCTTCCAACATCCCAGTGGCATCATCTACTCTCTTAGTACATTTCCATAGAAAGACAAATAACTTCAAAAACAAACAAATAGATACATGACACAGATGTTGGGCTCCATTCAGTAACTCCACCTATCTACCCTTGTAACATACACGCTCTGACCTTGTTAACCAACTCCTCCTACTACTGGTGGATCCGATGCCCCCACCTACACACACCTCACCTAGCCAGTCCGCAACCCCATACTACGACAGCTGAAGATTTATTTATAGACTTTATTTTTTTCATTTTTTCACTACTCCCTTTTCATCACATATTTATTTTTCGATAAATGTATTATTAGTATTTCTATTATTTCTTTAGAATTATTCTTATTCTTATTTTTTTTTTTATACATATATACCACGCAAGCACTGTATGTCACCCTATTTTCTTTTTCTGTCCTTGTGTTTGTGTATATACAATTTTTTCTTTGTTTGTTTTATACCTGCAAAGTCACCACTGGGTTAATTTTGCAATACAATAATAATGATAATGATAATAATAAATAAATAAATATGTTTAAAAAAGGCTCCCCCCAAGGGTCTATGTCTCCATCTCGGCCAATTATAAACGTAAACTCTTGGTTTTACATTAATGCATCAGTAATAATCTATTTCTATAATTTGTCGTCACAGGGGCCATTTTCTGCATAATGAGTACTTTTTATTACTTTAACTACATTTTCCTGATTAACATTACATGTGTTTTGCCAGTGGTGTAGTGGTAGTTGATGAGGTTGATGTACTACTAGGTAGATAGGTAGGTTACCAATGAGGAAGTAGGCATACTCTCCTATATATTACAACAGCTTTTTAGCTGATAGGGGGGTATACTGTAACTGGATAGAAAAAGAAGTGGGTATACCCCGTATACCTGAATATACCCTCCACTACACCACTTGTTTTCAATGCAGTACATTTACTTTTATAAGGTGTTTTATTTTCCAGTATTATTATTGTCATTATTATTATTATTATTATTATTATTATTATTATTATTATTATCTAATAATAAGGAATCTACAGTAGCAGTTTTTTTTATTTTAAATAAGGGATCTACAATAGTAGTTTTTTAAAATTATTTATCATTATTGTTTTAAATAAGGGATCTACAGTAGTAGTTATTTTATTATTATTATTATCATTATTATTAATATTTTCAATAAGGGATACACAGTAGTAGTTGTTTTATTATTATTATTATTATTATTATCTAATAATAAGGAATCTACAGTAGTAGCTATTTTATTATTATTATTATTATTAATAATCTTTTTTTAATAAAGAATCTACAGTAGCGCTTTTTTTATTATTTTAAAAAAGGGATCTACAATAGTAGTTTTTTTTAATTATTTATTTTATTATTGTTCATTATTATTTTAAATAAGGAATCTACAGTAGTAGTTATTTTATTATTATCATTATTATTATTTCAAATAAGGAATCTACAGTAGTAGTAAAGCATCTGTTGGAGCCACAGTAACGTTCCTTGAATTTAATTGATCCATGTTTAACTAGTAGTGACTTGATGTAAATAGATGCAGTTTGTTGTTTGTACACGGGGTGGCGCACTAGAGCAGGAAACCGCAGGTAATGCAGGTAAGGTTCAGGTGATGAGCAGCAGGTGTGTGACGGGGTAAACTAACAGTTATTTGACCGTGTAGTGTGGCAGCATGAAGAGTTTGTAGCGTGGGAAATAAAACTGCTGGATGGAAACTTGGACAGTGAACTGTGATGGACTCTGAAACAGTTCAGTGGAGACCTACCTGAGATGAATTATTTACCTGTGTGAGGTGAGCACGTGTGGAAATAAACGGGTCACCGCAATATTGTTGTTAAATTTCTCCCCGTTCACCCCCACACACGTGTTGTATTGAAAGACTCTACAGGATCAGATCCAAAAAGTTCCCCCACCGCTGCTTCGGGCCGATGATGTGACAATTCCGACAGCACGTGAAGGCAGCGCCTCCCTCCACAGGTTCCTCTCATCACCGAGCAGCGTTTCATTCAGGAGCACACTGACTGAGGTGCAGACGGGCTACGGACAGTCTGAGAGTCCAACATGGACTTCAGTGTGACGACAGTCTTTAAACTAGGCCACATTAGGAATTAAGTTCGCGTTTTTATTCAGACGAGCGGCACTTTTTAACTTGACAAGTATCATTGCGCCAAACTTTCTCTGCGCTTTGGAAATGCGTTACGAGCTGAGAGGAAGGATGACGATGACCCTGACCAAGACAGTTTATCTGCTCACAGGACTGGTCATTGTTTTCCAGTTACAGATAAGCGTCATCAAGCTTAAACCTGTACATGGTAAGTCATTTAATACATACAACTATAGCAACACATTTATTTTATCACTTAAACTTCTTTAATATTTCTGTATTGGCATATTAATGCAAGTCAATACAGCTAACCAGTTACCGCCTGTCATTTTGGTACGTTCCTGTGTTAATGTGGGGCTTTAGTGTTAAGTTTTTTTTAATGCATAATCAAGTATTGGCTTAAAAGATATATTTTAATTTATACTTTTTTAAAAAAATATTTTTTAATTTTAGATATCGTAATCCATAATTAAGAAAGTTATTCAGTGTTTTCCCTTGTATTTTTTTCTTAGCTGAGTGACAGCATTTAGATCACATAGGGACACTAATAAGTATAATTTTAGTGAGCTATAACCTCAAATACCACAGGATATACCTCATATTTTACTGATTCTAAGAGCCATTTAACCTCTGTGTGTGTGTACCTGTGTTTATTTGTGTTTACACCTTCGACCACCAGGGGGAGGATCTTTATTTAGAGGTAACTGACACATGAAGGTGTGATCAGGCTCAGGTGTGTTTCTGTTTTTACTATTTTCTGTGGAGTATTTTCTTTAGGAGGCTGGACTACACTGCAGCAGTGATCTGACTTTAACTACATGATAAATCAGTCTCTGTTTGCTCTTCAGCCTCTCAGTGGCTACAGTATTTATACAGAAACTACTGTAGTTTATGTAGCATCACTGCCCGCATCAGGCTGGTGGCCTCTGCAGCCACAGGGCCACCATGTGACAGAAATATAGACGCAACATCCACGGCTGCCCGGCCTCACATCCCTGCTCCTGGACCTGCTGGTGTGAAGAATGTGAAGCATGCTTTCACCCTCTGCTGCGAAAAGAGAAATTAAGACGCACTGTTGTCACTGAGAGGGGGCAGAGCGACGGCGTGACCACGCATGGCTGCCACATGGCACACACTGGGGGATTGTTTATGTCCTGCTGCATGTGAGGAGGAGATGCAGGAGTTTGTTGCTTATGTTTGAGATGTTCCAGGAGGCTTCGTCCACATCTAACAGTCCCTGTACAGTTTCCCCCTATTTATTTATTGAAGAAGTACTTAGTAGAGGAGAAGTGTACTGGATATTTAATCTGCAAACACTCTCCCAAAGGATTGTTCTCACATTTATACAAAGAGTGCTCAGAGGCATTTTGATTTTATTGTTAATACTATAATGATGACAAGAGTAACAAAGTGATCAATTAATAACTTATCACTCTCTCATCCTCAGGAGTCTACCCTACAGGCACACAGGGGCCGTCTCCTACAGAGGGAAGGTCAGCAGTCGCGGGAAGCAACAAGCCCTGGGAGAGGAGCCCCAGGTCTGGGGCCCCTGGCTGGATTGCAGATAGGAGGGGCCACTACAGAAACCAGCACCAACCAGAGGAGTCAGACGCAGACCTGCTGATGGAGGAGGGACACGACAATGCTACACAGATTGTAGTAAGGTTATTTACAGCTAAGCTCTCCTCAGCAGGTGGAGGAAAACTTGGGAACACAAGTCATAATCAAAGCGAAGCTAAAACCTGATCGCCTCACCTGCATGATCAAACGCTTCAACGTGAACCCTATTATTCAAATTCAGTTTCTCTGCACATTTTTTTGTTAATGTGTGTTTCAAAGCATCAATCAGTCTCTACATTTTTGGACAGGACATTGATCACGCCTACTATACATCTAAAATCCATGGGTCTGGAGACGCAGCCGGTAAAGAGCTGTGGGTGAACGTCGATGAGATGGAAGAGGATGAGTGGAAGGTCTCTGGCTTCCTGTCCAGCACCCACAGACAAGCTGAGGTATGAAATCTGTCCGCGGGAATAAAATGGGACAATCTGTGTTTTATGCCAGTTAAATATCTCGTGTTTAAATTTAATAAGCGATCCAATTTTTGTTTATTTTCTTTGACTTTCCTGACTGAGGAAATAAATATTTTGATTTTGTTATCAAAATTATTGAGACATCAATGAAGTGTTGATTAAAATATAACAGTTTACTTTCAACATAACTGCATTAAAGTTAATTATAAGCTATTTTACGTATTTAAAGATCCTCTTGACAAAAAGATTCACTTGTGTTGTTGGTGTAAATAAAAGTAGATGTTGACCATCTTTAACATACAGTTGATAATACACTTTGTCTTACTTTGTTTCCAGAGAGTGAATTTGTCCTTCGACTTCCCCTTCTATGGTCATATATTGAAAGAAATCACAGTGGCAACTGGAGGTGAGTCTTTAACTACACACACACAGTGGGTCTCATTCATGAAATGTTAGTGAATCTGTGAGTAGATTTACACATAAAAAACCTTAATACTAAAAACCTACACCGGATATCCATGAACACCGCAGGAAACTCGGATTTTAGCATAGGCATGTGTGTATGTTCGTGAATTCCAAGTAAACTGACAGCGTGCTCCTGTTAGTCAGCAATCAGTATTCATCCTGCCCATGAATATCCAGTGACTGCCATATATGAAGGTGATAATTAAAGTTATTTTAGGTGAAGTAGGGTTGGAAAAACATTGTATTTTCGTCTGTTAGTAGTGGTGTGACAGGGACAGGTAAATCAAACGCCTGGAACGAGGTAATGGGTGCCGAATATTACTATCTGACCTGTTGAAAGGCTATTATCTTGGCTGTGTCCCGCCGCCACATTTTCTTCACTGATTCTCGGTCAGACGTCTCAAAAGGCTCTGATTATGGCGGACGAAAGTTTCAGACTCAATGTGCAAACGTGATTGACACAACATGAGGCTCTATTTATTTTTAGATGTGCAACAATTTTGGAGGAAAACAACAGACTCCGTTTGCAAAGACCTTTAAAATGTCCAGCTTTACAGCAAAACTAAACCTGTTTACAGCCTGTAACAAAAACAGTTTGGGTCTTATATCTAATTTATGACAACTGTACAGGGAGGTAAAAAAAATATATTTAACTCACCTGTTACATTTTTTTGACACTCAAATTTACGCATGATTAAGGGTGGGCTGCTTTGAGTGACAGGCTGTCTGCCGATAGTGTCCTTGGCTTCTTAGTCACATCCACCTCTTACTCCTCCACTGCACCAGCCTCTCGCCCAACTATGCTCACTTCTGGCTCCAAAAAACTAAGATGGCGATGGCCGAAATGCTTCAGAATGTGAGTCCACAAACCAATGGGTGACGTCATGGTAGCTATAGCCATTATCTTTACAGTCTGTGGTTGCTCTTCATCCCCCTCTCTCCTTCCTCGTTTTGGAACAAGCTTTGTCAGCTGGGCGTCTCGCCTCTTTTCTTTCAGCACTATGTCTGCGATTTTTGTTGCTTTCTCTTGGATGGATGCTGCTTATGGTCTGACAGCTGGTTGCTGCCTTTTATATAGTCCCGACCTCAGCTGTACGCTGTGCCCAGGAACGTTCCAAACACAGCAAATATGAATCAATTAAGAAAATACAGGCGGAGGGCAGAGTCCATGTGGATAGAACTTCTAGAGGGTCGTAAGTGATGATTGAGAGGGATTACTTTGTATGGCTCTTTACATTGTTTTGGGGAAAATCATGCATAGTATATCTTCAAGGACTCAGATTTTAGGCAACAGCAGAATTTTAACAACTCAACTGTGAGCAGCCTCTGTATGTTTTCCTCTAACAGGTTTCATTTACACTGGAGATATAATCCACCAGATGCTCACAGCTACTCAGTACATCGCCCCTCTGATGGCCAATTTTGACCCAAGTCTGTCCAAAAACTCCACTGTGTTTTACTTTGATAACGGTAAGAGAGATCATTTTACTCAGCTGTCATCACTTTGGGCGTTTCTGCTGTAGAATATTTCTACTACATGTGTGTCAGTTGTTGTGTGTTTACTGTGAAGGCACTGCACTGGTGGTTCAGTGGAACCGGATTCACCTCCAGGACAATATCAGTCTGGGGACTTTCACCTTCCAGGCTGTTCTGCACAGCGATGGGCGTATTGTCTTTGCATACAAAGAGGTGACATTCCTCTCCTCTTTATGTTCTCCTGTTAATGTGAAATTTGGTTAATAATACAGCCATTGTTTTTGTAGATTCCTTTAGACATCAACGACATCAGCATGGAGAATCATCCTGTCAAAGTGGGCTTGTCGGACGCTTTTGTGGTTCTTCATGAGATAGAGCAGATCCCCAGTGAGTGACACATTTGCTGTATAAAAACGACATTTTGTTACCATGATTTTTACCTGCTGATTTATTAAACAAAATACTGGATCTCAGTTAAAGGTGCTGTTTGTAACTCTGGAGAAAGATAGCTGATTGTTGACAAATACAGACGCTTTGGGTTGGTAGGTGGCCTGAATCACCAACCCAAAGAATTGGTATTCGAAGACCTGGGCAATCAACTTTCTCCAGAGTCACATATGGCACCTTTAACAACATCTTCTCCTTTCTGATATGCTTCAGATGTTCGTCGGAGAACCATTTATGAGTATCACAAAGTCGACATCCTAAAGTCCAAAATCTCAAATTCTACAGCTGTAGAGATGCTACCTCTCCCCAGTAAGTTAACCCTGATTAAAGTATACAAAGAGATGTGCTGCTAAAATGGCATCATTAAATAACCACATCTGAACATTTATATTACACTTTTGTCAAACAATGAGTATCTTTTGACTGATATACATAGCAGCTGTTGAATAGCCTATAGAAATGCATCCAGCTTTAACTCACATGAGTCAGAGTCGTCTCTTCCTCCTCACTCTCCAGTGTTTTCTTTATTCTCAGCGTGTCTGCAGTTCTCCAGCTGTGGTCCATGTGTCACTTCTCAGATTGGCTTCAACTGCAGCTGGTGCAGTCGGCTACAAAGGTAAACTGGAAAGCACTTGGAGAGCGCATACCATTGACAAGGCTGCACATTCCCACTGCATTTATTTGAATGAAAGAATATGTTGGGAATGTCTGATCTTTATTTGAGTCCAGAGCTGCATTATAATACACAGAGATAAACAATTGTGGCTGATGGCAGACATACGAAAAATCTTTTTTTGTAAAACTCATAGTGAGTCAGATTCATGGCCACTGAGTTGTGGCAATTTTAATTCACCACGTTGTCTCCATAAAAGTGACTTTTTTTTTTAAAAAAAGAAATACTTTATGTTTATGTGCTATCATCTACATTTGGCTGCAATTGCAGAGTGTTCAAGAATTGTAATGTTTTATTTGAAATGATAAAAAATTCTCCAACAATTGAAAGGAAAATGGTATATATTATATAATACCATTTTGGGGAACAGTAGAGATTATTGCACTGTATAAGAAAAATTATTCGATCACATGATTATGATATCAACATGTCCTGTATCTCACGTTTACTGTATGATGAGATTCCAGTACAGGGGGATGTTGTGTTGTAACGCCTTCTGAGGCAGATTGTGATTTGTGATATTGAGCTTTATAAATTTAATTGAGCTGAAGTCATGGATTTTATGGTTTACTCATTAAAGAATGGGTTCATGTTTTGTCAAGTCTAGAGACCCTTTTAGGGCCAATGTCATGATGATGTCATTTTATTAGCTGGAGGTGAAACAGGACTCTCCACCACAGGGCTGCAGGTTATACAGGAGTCTTGAAATGTCATCCTGTTGTGTTATTGGGAGCCAGAATAGAAGGAGTCATGACTCAAAACTTATATTTTATAGCATACCAGCCTCTACTGCCCGTCAACAAAAACAAAGACAACTATGGTTAAATACGGTAAGACCAAAGGAGTGGATGGAGGCGATCATCAAAAATGTATTTCCTGTTGTAGGGATGAATAACGTTATAGAACAACTAACTCCGAGAGTGTGGTGCTCTGAATAACTGAACGTTACATTCAGACAGTGCTCCAAATTTATGAGCGGTCCAGTTTGTGAGTGTGCTTCGACACTTGGAATGAGTATTTCTGAATGCACCACTTGCATCATCTTCCGCCACTGTCTAAAGCAAGTCACCAGAACTTTGGTAGCCAGCGTTAGCGAATGTCTGTGAAGAATTGTTTTGCCTCCAGCTAAGCCCCACCCACCAAAAAACGGCATACCGTCACTAACAGTAAAAGGGTCTATTGTCAGTGTTCATCCTGTCTGTCCTGGCTGCAGGTTCCTTCCTAAAGTGAGGGCATTTTGGGGTTTTGTTACACATCACTTTCACTGACACCACTTTAGGAAAGGATCTCTTTGCAGCCAGTAAAGACGGAGGAGAAATAATTAAAGTGGCTGCTGGTCTTTCCAGTGTGGGGCAGGTGAGTACAGTATTAAGACTTGACAAAAATATGAACATATCCTTTAAAACTAAACCAATTTATAAAAGATTTGTTTCCCCCTATTGCTTTATGAAATGCTGTCTTATTGTAGGGGAGTATAAAGTGTAAGTAAGTATACATGGTAACCACCCACGCCTTCTTTCTGATCAGTTAATGATCCATCTGATAAATAAATTTTAAAAAGGCTAAAGTCCAAGAAATAACAAATTTGGTAGTGAAAAAGACTTGAGTCAGACTTGTCCCTCAAGCACGTTGTCAAAACACTATCTGATATGTTTGTGAAGATAAACCTGTAAATAAAGCTCAACTATAGTCCCCATACATTAATATTTACTACCTTTCTTAGATGCTCCAGTGGCTTTGATCGTAACCGGCAGGACTGGGTCGACCTCGGCTGCCCGGAGGAGGTTCTCATTATTTTTGCATTTCAGTAAACTACAGAAAGTTTGACTCAGTTAGAACTCAGCACCGCTTGTGTTTGTCTGCACACAACTGTTTCCTGACATTTGTTTTTGTTTTCACCTGTTATTTTTCCAGAGAAAAGATCCCAGATGTCTCAAAATGACAGACATCGCAAACACCACATCTCACCACCTCACACATACGACCACTCCTGTCACGACCACAGTGCAGCAGAGGACCTCCAGTATGACCTCCACCCCCCTGAGCAGGACATCCGCTGTCACCAACCCCTCAACACGCAGCAACACAAGCAGAATAAAATCCACTTCACAGCTTCCCACCAGTAAACCTGCAGAAGGTAAGCTGACAAGATGCTCTCAAACATCTGCAGTAAACAAAACTTGCATTTTATATGTCTCAAACTGCAGACTTTGAATTTTATCCTACTACCTTTCATCGAACTTTCTTATTTGATTGCTTAAAGTCAATGAATTTCCGTAATAGTCTTTGCCAGATCACAGCTCAGGGCAGGTGACAAAACCCTCTCATGAATTAATACTTGTTGTCGTTGCACGGTGTCCACGCCCAGTGTGTGTTGTGCAAAGTCTGACAGTGTGAGGGTCAAGTGGTCAGCTATTTCCCAGCCCTCTGTGAGCTCATAGCTGAGTGTATACAGCGCCATGTTAAATACTACATAGTGTCCTCAGCTGCTGATGGATGACTCAATGTATGTGTGTGTCACTCTGCGTGAGTCAGAATATAGGGGGGCTGTTATTTTTGGTTGTAGTGGCCATTATTTGTAAGAATACAGCATTCAAAAAGAAGTACTGCTATTTTAATGATATTACTTAAGTAGACTGTAAAGTAGTTTAATTAAATATAAAGTACTTTTATTAAATATGTACAAGGAATCCCTAAAGTCTGAAAGTTAATCATGAACTAGAACAATTTGAGGTGTTTTGAATATTTTTAACTTCAAACAGCAAAGAGGAGAGTCTTTGAATTGGATAGATTAAGTGGAAAAACAGAGCTGTATTATAAATTGCACATTTTTTTTGTCTAACTGTTAACAATAATAATAATAATAATAATAATAATAATGATAATTATTATATAGCACCTTTCATACAAGAAATGCAGCACAAAGTGCTTTATAATAAGGGCAGTATAAGCACAATTAAAACAGACAGAATGAACATAAAACAGAGCCGATTCATAAAATCATAGAGTTGTAAAACTATAAATCATAAAATCAAGTAAGATTTTAAAAGAGTTGCAGCAGCGTGAAGCGTAAATAGAAAGTAAAAGCCTAAAAAGAAGGAGTTTCAGACCTGTATTGGAAAGTCAGAGCTAGTTAAAGGCTAAAGTGAACAGACACGTTTTAGCTTTATTCTTAAAATATTTAGCGAGCTAGCTTCCCCGATATCTATAGGTAGCGTGATCCAAAGCTTCGGGGCGTAACTGACAAAGGCTGCATGCCCGATCCTCTTCCGGCTGTTGCTGGGAACCTCCAATAAACCAGCAGCAGATGATCGCAGTGTTCTTGGAAGCAAATGGTTGACAAGGGAGCTAGCAATGTAGCTCGGTATACAAGGAGGACCTTAAAATCAATTCTACATGTAACAGGAAGCCAGCGCAGAGCAGCTCAGACTGGCCTGATGTGCTCGCTCCTCTTATTTCTGGTTAATAGCTGAGCTGCAGAGTGTTTAATGAATCTCTCAGTGGTGTTTTTTTAGGAGGCCAGTGTTCACTGAAAATAGCCCCACACTGTGTAAATTTCTTCAAGATTTCAGATTTCACTTGTACTCAAGCTCACTACTGTATATCATTAAAAACTTGCAGAAGTTAAATTAAAAGGACCAACAATTCTAAAAAAAAAAAAAAAAAAGATTTTAAAAAGTACAGCATGACAAAGTGTATGTCTTATGTCATTCTTTCTTTTTCTAGATGACACAAAGATCTCTGTGCACAACAATGAAACACGTAAGTCAATCATATCCACCTACTGTGTCTGATTGTGATGTCATTATTGGTACATGATATTTTCAGCAGTTGTCAAGACAACTTGTTGTCTAAACTTACATATTTATATTTGATCTGATAGTTTGGGTCACCATGTGTAAAATGTTTGTGATTACAGCTGTTTACTCTGATTGCTGGAGTCAAATAAGTGGAAATATCTGAGCTGCTTTTTAGCCCAGTCATCTCGAGGGTTCTGCACATGTTGGCTTTAAGTCTATAACTATAGGTAGTTTGACTCAGTCTCATCATCACCTTTGTGCAGCAGGAAATGAGGAGACAACAGGAGCTAGTGATGGGTGGCCGCAGACGGGTCTACTGGCGGGCATCGTCATGGTTATGATCATCATGGGAGCAGCCGTCCTTCTGTCTGTCTACATGTATAACAATCCGACCTCCAGCGCCAGCCTCTTCTTCATGGAGGTCAGTGACACCATGATCCATATTAAACTCCCCATGATCCCCTGAACAAGTAACGCTGCTAGTTTTTAGCACATTTTGCCTATTTGCCATTTTCCAAAGCGTATTGCGTTTTTTTTAATTTGGATTTCCCCATCTGCCTGATTTGTGAATTTACCTTTGCAATTTAAGTAACAATGCACTGACTTGAAAATTAATAAGGATAAGTAATCCATCCAAGTCAGCAACTGTCACTTTTTTTTTGCCTTGCAAGCAGTGTGGCTTCAAGATAAAAACTTGGTCCCTCCAACACTTCAGGTAGAGCAAGACAATGTGGAAATAGAGCATGGATACTCATCGTCCCAGTGAATGATACCTTATACATTTTGGTGTCTAGCACCAATGTTAGGTCAAAATTTCCTCTCAAAGGAATACAAAAACTTCCAAATGACGATTCATATAGTAATTACTCACCTTGCGTTATCCTGAATTCATGAAGAAAACTTTATATCAAAAACATCCATTAACAAACTCTCATACAACTCGTGCAGCATAATCCAAGTTTCATTTATCCAGTCATATGCTCAGTACTTCTCCGCCCTTTCCAATGAAAGACTGAAACTTACCCATGCTCTCCTCAAAGCCAGACTCCATTGACAAATCAGTAATTTCGGGACAGATCTAGTGATCAGTGAGTTAAAAACTGAGCATGGCAGTAGTTCAAGAGGAACATGATGTCAAGTTCAGCTCACACCCCAACTACATCAGCTGATCTCAAACAGCCCTATCAACTGATGGAGCAGCTGACTGATGGAAGGGAGTCAGCTGATAGATCACATGATTCCTTTCTATGCAACCTCCACCCCAGCTAATCAATGTCATTTCTGTTTGTCATTGATGCTGCTCTGTTCTGTTCCCGGGGGTCTTTGCTGCTGCTCTCCCTGCCTTAGGCATTCCATGTAGACACATGGAAGGGCAGGGAGGTGTGCTCTCTCTGCCTCAGGCTTTCCTTGTTTGCATGTGGAAGGGCAGAGAGCTGTGTTCGCTCTGCCTTAAGGTTCCATGTAGGCGCCTGGAAGGGCAGAGAGGTGTGCTCTCTCCACCTTATGCTTTCTGTGTAGGACTAGGAAAAGTAGAGAAGAAAGCCATACCGCCAAATATAATACTGCCTATGGAAATAAAGTTTTCCCAACTAAATGACTGTTTTAGTCAGTTCTGTCTGGCTTTGAAGAGATCATAGACAACATTCACTTTCAGTTCAGTCACCCCATTGGAAAGGGCCTTCTGTTTGGAAGTACTAAGCATATGACTGGATAGATGCAACTTGCATTCATACTGCACAAGTTGTGTGAGGGTCTGTAACTTGGTGTTCTACTATAGTTTTGCTGTTGTTAAATGCAGACCCAGCATACTTTAATTCATAAACACTTTTCTCCGTAATTCAGTGTAACACGGGGTGAAGTATTACTTTAATCAACATGCCCTAGTCCAGTCCAATTTTAAAAATTGTACCCAGGTGGTTTGGTGAGTACTTGACCGTTTATACGGCAACAATAATAAAAAATAAAAGAAATTCCCATGTTCCACCATATTCTGCACATTTTTCATCCAGGTCTGTAGGACCCCCTAGGAAACAAGATGATTCATTACAAAGGGTTTATCCTAATGAATAAACTTCTGCAAAAGTGGTTCCCAACTGGTCCAGATTTCAACTCAGTCATTAGTTCAAGGTCCACACGGTTTATTACATTAAGTGTCAATACTTGTGTTTGGCCATGTCATTGAGCTACTTTGATGTCTCTGTCAGTTAATCATTCAGTCTACAGCAGGAAAGGGCACTTCAAAATAGATGCTCTGTGCCGGAAATTCACTGTACCTAAAAATAAAGCATTTTTATTTTTATTTTATTTTTTTAATATACAAACGTTTACAAAACCAGTTGTGAATCTTCATCCATTTGTACAATTCTGCTTTCCAACATTGTAAACACCTTTCTGTTATGTAGATGGAAACATTTGGCATTTTTGGAAGCTGGGGACTAATATTTTATTATAGAATTTAAAGCAACAGTGAGGTTTTAGTGGCATTAAGTAATATTTATTCATTACCAGTGGTGCAATTAAAAAGTATATGTAGGAGAGCAGAAAAATATCAGACAGACAATAAATAAAGTGCTGTGTACTTTTATGCATATGTTCTCTCAATATTCAATTCCCCCCAGCGGCGGCCAACCCGCTGGCCAATCATGAAGTTCAGGCGGGGCTCTGGTTGCCCTTCCTATGCTGAGGTGGAGACTCCCGGTCAGGACAAAGACACCATGGTGGTCATCGACCCCAAACAGTCCTTTGTCATGTCAGACAGAAGAGAGAGCGAACAGAAAGAAGGATTCATAGTTCCTGATCAGAGGGAGCGCTTCCTGGTCTCAGAGAGCTGACCAAAAACTACAAATCCCAGAAGGCTTTGGGAGAGAGCTGGATCTCCACGTGAGGGAGACTTTTTATTTTCCATTAAAGCTGTTGCTCAAGTTCATTTTAAAAGGACAGACACTGAGCATTCAGAGAGGAAAAGGCCCAAAACCTCTATGAGGAAAATGTCGCTACAGAGTAATTTATTTACAGTTTGGTTTCATGTTAGCGTTAGCTTGGTGAGCCAGTAGACTGTTTCAAAGCATAATGTAAAAAAGATTTACTTTGCTCAGGTCACTCGTCTGTGTTCACTGAGGCATCACACAGAGCGAGAGGTGACGCCACTGAATGTTTGTTTTGAACCCATTTCTCTCAAAGACAGATGATATTTTCCAGAGCTGTTATGTGTCGTTCCCACACCTTCTTCACAAGGAGGAATGTCATATTCGGGTGTCATTTCCTCATCTCAAAAATACAGACTAAATTCCTCACCATTACACCCACCTTCATCTGAGGGGCAAACAGGCTGCACAGTGTTTTCACTGCTGTTTACCTCGAAGAAGAAAATGTCTGCACCCTTTTCAATTTCTACTTTTATTTTCTGATTAGTTTGCTGTACAAATATGTACACTACAACATTACAAACATTCACAACCATGAAAAAATACAGATCTGTATTTGTTTTAGACTTGATACAGTCTCGCAACATTTTTCTAACATGCTGTAATTGTTCCAACACATGTAATCTGTATATTTAAAATGGTAAATTGCAGGTTTTAGTCTGTCGCTGATCATGTTAGTGTCTCTTCAGTCACTGTACAGTACTTGTATAGCTTTAAGAAGTGTTCTAATTAAAACAAGGATTGTTTCGTACACATGCTGCATAATGTAATAATTTCACCAGTTTTTGGAAATCTAAAAAACCCTCAAATGTTAGCAATTGTCCAATGAGCTGAGGGTTCATCCCACTCTTTCTCTTAAGCAGTTTAATAAATGCTGATAACATTTTCAAAACTGTCAAAGTAATTGTATCTACTGTACATTTTGATACGATGACACGAGAATCAACAGTTTCCTGCACTATTACTGGCATACAGGACTAGTGTCGTGTATTATTTGAGGCATGTTTAGTCTAAAAATGAAATTAAGGCAAATGGTATCTCAATGGATCGCTTAAGACTGGCCTGGAAGCTGTCAGGGTCAAGGCACTGCTGTGTTGGAGGTACTGCGAAGGTCTTGACTCGGACGCTCAGGTTTCCTCCTTGTCTTCTGAGAGAGAACCAAACAAAATGGAGAAAAAAAAAGATACATTTATTTGTGTTCCAATCACAAAGTGATTTGAGTTACTGTAATAAGAGTCAAATAGCACTTCTCATGGTGGATATTTAATGGTATCAGAAAAATACGTGGTGTATATGTGGCAGTAATTTCCATTTACCTGACATATACTTCCTGGTATTTGGTTTGTGTCTCCAAAGATTACCAAGTGAAATACAAATAATGAGACTTAAGCTTTGTCCAAATACTTTCATACCACATGTTAGTCCAAACACTTTAATACAACATGTTATATCTAAGTGCCGTAAAACTTTAATTAAATAATTAATAGCCTGGGCTATTATTTGCTTAAATTACTGAACTCAACAGGCCTATATTTGGGACAGGCCTTTATTAATCAGCAAAGAGCAGGAAATACAGTCAATTTGTATGAGTATTACTTGTATAAAAATGAGGCTTCAGATAAAATATCAATAGAATAAATAAAATGTATCCTTTCAAAACAATAATCACAACTTGGATTAATTTTTATGAGAAACCCTTTTGATCTGAGGTCCCTTACGGGCTAAAGGAATATACAGGGTAATTAAGGAATGGACACATCATTTGAGGTAGGTAGGTGTTATACATGTGATATATGATATATATACATTACAAAAAATGACCTGCTTGGCAACCAGACCAGGCTGGTAAAAGAGACTGGGGCATTTAATTGGGACTAGACTGTTAAATAAAGTTTTACAGTAGGTTATGAGTGTGTAGTGTGTTTTCACTGAAAAAAACACAGTTATATTGAAAACACTTAGTATGCAAACTAAAAAATATCTTGACTTCTGAGGGTGCTGTAGATGGACTGTCACAGTTATGTATGTAAAGTAATGCACTGTATTCAGGTATTGTGTATGGAATTAGGACACTGTGTTTCTTACCTTTCACTGGTGGTGCAGGGAGTCGTCGCCTCAGCTGTCTTGTAGAGTCCACAGTGACAGGCTGCAAGATGTAAAACGAGGATTTTTTTTCCCCCCCAATTCTTCCACAAGGTGTTTGACATAATGGTGGTTATTTCTCTTAATGTAAACACGTACCGTGACTGGAATGGTCTTGGTCTTAGTGAAGCGCGACTGTGGTGTTTCTACGTTGAGGCCTGCACTCTTCAATGCTGCAATTCTGGCTGAGATATCACAAACCTGAAGAAAAAACAACCATGTAATACAGTACATGTTTGAAATCACTTTTCTAATAGTTGTATGTTTTCTTTTCAGTCTTTGAACTTTGATTGAAGCACCTCTGTCAAATCAATCTGTGTTTTTAGTAGTCAGGTCTAATAAAAAGCAGCAGAACTCTTTCTCAATATGCCACTTTAAGCTGTAAAATGGAGGCCTATTCAGCTTCAACCCACCTGCAGCTCAGACTGTTGGACAGCAGCAGCTGCAGATGCTACCTGCTCCTCCAGGAAGGACAGCTCCATGTCCGACGTGGCGCTACAGATGCCCCTGGCACACTCCTCCAGGTCACTCAGCTCAGCCTCCAGACTGTAAACCTCTCCAGCTGCCACGTACACCTGCAGCATGTCCAGTTCCAAACGAAATCAACTTAAAATCTTTGTACCATCAATTAAAATCTTTGTACCACCTTTACTTTCACCTGTATTTATGCCATACTGTTAAGGTGAGTCCACCGTTAATGTTTGCAAGTGAAAATTAACCTATACTATACTATGACTTTTTTCCATGTTTTTTTGACGACATACTATACTATGACTTTCTTTCATGGTTTTTGACGACATACTATGCTATGACAATTTTTTTCATGGCTCATGACCACATACTATACTATGACTTTTTTCCATGGTTCATGACCACATACTATACTATGACTTTTTTCCATGGTTCATGACCACATACTATGCTATGACAATTTTTTCCATGGTTCATGACCACATACTATACTATGACTTTTTTCCATGGTTCATGACCACATACTATACTATGACTGTTTTTTCATGGTTTTTGATGACATACTATACTATGACTTTTTTCCATGGTTTTTGATGACATACTATACTATGACTTTTGTCATGGTTTTAGACCACATGCTATACTATGACTCTTTAAATTGTCATAAAGTCATGGTTTAGTGTGTCACAAAATTTCATAGTACAGTATGCCATAAAAAGTCATAGTAAAGCATACAATAGCATGTAATAGAAAAGTCAGTAGTTAAACGGCCTCATCAAACACCATGTGCGGTGAATAAAATAAATATAAATAATAAAAAGCTGAACTTACGTTCTCCTCCAGTCTGGAGAACTGTTGATCCAGTTTCTTGGGGTCTGTGTTGAGGGGCAATGAGGTGTTGGAGAGTCGGGGGCCTTCCCCTCCCTCTATCCCCTGCAGTAGCAGCTCCTCAGTGGCATTCAGCACCTTCAGGACCTCAGTGGTGATGCTGCGCAGAGACACCGCCGAGTACCTCTACAACACAAAGTAGACAAATCATCAAGGACATTTATTGAGATGGAACGACCAACTTTCCAACCAAGATCAGGAATGATACATTGAAAATGGACAAAATGAATATATTTGTTGGAATAAGTAACCTGGCTAGTGGTTCTATACAAATAACATACAGCTGCACAAACACCTGCTATCCATAATATATATATACACACACAGTACAGGCCAAAAGTTTGGACACACCTTCTCATTCAATGCGTTTTCTTTATTTTCATGACTATTTACATTGTAGATTCTCACTGAAGGCATCAAAACTATGAATGAACACATGTGGAGTTATGTACTTAACAAAAAAAGGTGAAATAACTGAAAACATGTTTTATATTCTAGTTTCTTCAAAATAGCCACCCTTTGCTCTGATTACTGCTTTGCACACTCTTGGCATTCTCTCCATGAGCTTCAAGAGGTAGTCACCTGAAATGGTTT